CAATGGAATAGAGTTGTCTGTCAGCTCTCCTTTTGGGCAAAGGCTCCTATTGTGAAGGGGAGAGCCTGTAACAATCCTCTAATTAGTCTGTTTTCCTTTTTCTTTCCATATTCTAATTGACTTTTTCAATTAGGATCATACTAGAAAAAGACTGTCAGAATTACTTGTTTAAAAATAAGCAATTAGAAAATCTCATTTTCCTATTCCGTGTTTTCTTTCTCACACCGACCTGATTCTGAAATCTTTTCTTTGCCAAAGCTGCATTTTTTTCCCCATCCTGCACCATGTAATTTAATGGCCGTGTAATTCTGATAGCTCTGATTTGTTGTTCTGCCAAGTACATATTAAAGTTCCTTAGCATCTCTCTTCATCCTGTTAAGAATCAACGTGGGTACTCTTGTTTTACAATCCTTCATGGTTGCTTATTTTAATAAATTTAATTCAGCTTGAAATTCTAACTTGATTCTAACCATTGTCCCTAATCTAAATATTACTGGGGTAGAGACTGTTTTTGGAGGTAGACTAAGCCACACAAATCCAACGTGACTCTCACAATTCCATTATCATTTGTAATCAAGTGTTCTCCACAATTCAAACTACAATAAAATTAGAAATGTAAGTCTAATAATGAGTGCACTATTTAAATGTGCAATAATGCACAAATCTGATCTTTTTAATCTCCTGCTTAGAAATTTTCAAAGGCAATGAAGTTCTTACCTCTTAACTGGGCTCTCAAAGTTTTTATTATCTGGCTTCTGCCCACTACTTCCTGCTTCCTCTCTTAACCCTCCCCCAACTCCCACTCACACCCCCTCCAGACTCCAGCCTGAAAAGCTGTTTGCAAGTTCGCAGATGGGACATTCCCTAGCATGTTCTCCTCCTCTGACTGTTCTCATTTTTTATTCCTCCCCAACACACACTACACATACATACACAACATATGCACACACACACAACATACACAACACATACACCAAATACAACCCATACCAAACACATACACTACACACAAAACACACACCATAGACGTATAATGCCCATAATACACATATAAAACACACACACAGAGGTCATCCCCTATCTCCTTGCCAGTACCTATGCATCCTGCCACCCACAGATCTCCATTATGAGCCCCTCCCACTGATGTTTCTCAGCATTATCTTTTAGACCATATATCATAATTTACAATCAGACACTGATCTGTGGCATTACTTGGTTTAACATGGTCTTTCTCAATAGCATGTGTTTTTCATGAAAGGAGTCACCATATCTTGTTTTCTGGTCATCTTTGTTTAACTAGATGAGCATAAGGCCTGCCATGTGGTAGGAATACCTGCCAGATGAATGAACAAATGAATGAATGAATGCATGAGACCTTCACCTGGAAGTGTACAACCATCTGTCATTTCTACACCTGGCAATCCCACTCGCTGTGCGAAAAGGACTCTAATTAGTCTTTGATGTGAATTGATTCACTGGTCTTAGCCTGGGTCCCTGGGTCAAGTTCCTGCCGTACCCTTCACAAGCCCTGACATGGTGCTCTCCCACCTCCATCTCACTCAGCATTCCCAGGGCCTGGCCCTTATTTCCTTTATCTCTTGGGAAACAGTCTTCACCAAGAAACAAAAAAGAGGAAGCATTAAAAGCAAGCAAACAGGAAACAAATCCTAGCAGCCACAAGGCAGACTTTTCCAAGACACTTTTGTCTTTATTTCTTGGACTAAACTCAGGAGACACTCTTTTTGACACTCTTGTTTTGTTTCACAGTGATATAGAAAGATGTTTTACACTTCTGCACACTGCCCTCTCTCATTCAGTTATGACAACTTGCTTCGATAACCAACAGTTTTTATGCAATGACGTGTGTCCTGAGAAATCTTATGCCTTAGCAAAAATGTCCCTACAAATTGTTTACAGTATCAAATAGCTCACTATATTTTGACAGTAGCTTTTCCTTTAGGATTTTAGGATCCTGTAGGACCCCTTACTAAAATTCTGCTTCCTAGAGCCCCCAGTCCTTAACTGGTATGCCTCAGACATCCATGCACCAACATTCTTCAAAATATCAATACCAGATTGAGCAAGGATTCAAGGTTATTTCTTTAAGTATGAGTACTTGCAAAAATAACCTGTAGAAGGGAAACTAACTTCAAACTAAAAAACATTTGAATAAGTATAAGTAAGTAGCCTTTATCATGTTTTGATGTGAAAGTTCATTCTGTGGAAGAACCAGAGAGTCAATCAAAATATTACCAAATCAGTGATCCCACATTTCTTGGAAGCAAATATCATATACAAATATTTTTTCTTTCTTTGATACTAATAGCGATATTAACTCAGTAGTGACTATGTGCTAAGCATTTCTCTGAACCTTATTCATGTGTTAACTCATTTAATTGTCTAATAGCCCTTAGAGGAATTCACATTAATTATTTTCATTGTATAGAGGAAGAAAAAATTCAGTATTCACTCAAAGTCCTAAGTGCAGGAAAGAGTGGAGCCATGTTCTAGCCCAGAGCCCGGAGCAATGGGTAGGCCACACAAATAATTGTTTTCCAGTCCCAAGTCCACATATATGTATTTTTTTAAATATAGTTAAGTTTTTATTATGCATCCCATTATTTGGCAAGGAATAATACTAGATTTTTATCTTCCCTGGACTTAAACTATTTATAATAAATAGCTTGGTATGGTGCCGATATTGAGTCAGGTAGACCTGGATTTCAAGTCTAGCTCTACTACTTTCCAGGTATATGACATTGGAACACTTCCTTTTTCTTCTGATCCCATTTGCCATTTTGTAAAATAGGGATTATTACTGCTGTTGTGAGGAGAGAATAACATGAGTTACCTGGCACATACGAGATTGATACTATTCTTTATGTCAAATGTGTAAGGGAGGCCATTAGGAAGTTACATTAATTCTCATGAAAAGAAGGTGCCATCAATAAATTAAAAATTTGATACTGGAAATCATTTTCTATTAGCCAAAAATAGTTCTAGAAGGGTCCCAGTTGTCAGAAAGGATAACAGCATCGATAAGGAAACCATCCTTTTCAGCCAACTGAAATTTGGATGAATAGCTACAAAGAATTACATTAAAAGACTAGGGATTATATGCAGGAACATAATTTTGCCATCCTGGTGAACATGTGGGTGTGTCCCAAATTCCATCCCCATTCTTTGGAATTTTGTCTCCCCAGATCCCTCCAGTAGAGCCCCCTGCACATTTGTGTCCACAGACCCCCAAGAGCACCTTGTATTGACTTAGTTTCCTAGAGTCAGCTACCAAGTGCAGTGTTGTGGCTACCGAGAATTTGAACGGAGGTTACCAGAGAGGACAAAACCTGAGGTGGTTTAACCTCTTTGTAAGAAACATCTTTCTGTTTAATTCTTCTGTGCCCCAGGTGATGGGCAGTAGCTCTGCTTTGTACACTGTGGCCATCTCCCCTCACATGTGACAGATTGTATTTGGGCATCTGACATACGAGTAGCAGACACCATGTCTGGTCACACACTGCCTTGTAGGAGCTGGCCAGATCAGATTGCTGTCTTGGAGATTTGGTGTTAACACACTGGGAAACTGAGGCAATTGTGGAAGAGGGAAGAAAGAGATGCCTGAAGCAAGTTGACAAGGATGGGGAGACCCTGGGAAATAAATCACAAAGCCATAAGCAATGTTGGGATTTCAAAAAAACCAAACAAAACCAGCAGATTTGCAGAAAGGGGCAGATGGTGAGAGAAAGAGAGATTCCTAGATTTTTAATTTAGGTTAGTTTACACGAGAGCTCATCTTACCTGTGTCTTTACAAGTGACCTCCAATACTTGCCCTGAGATGCCCATTGTATACAGGAAGCCGAATGAAACACCCCAAGCATGAACTTGAGGCTATGGAGATACACTGGCAGTGCCCATCGCTTCAACTCTTTTTAGACATTTGTGTTCTCCTGGTGTCTTCGGCACCCACCTCATTGTCCTCCCCAATAGGATGATGCAACTGCTAATGCCACTCAGAGTGGACCCTCAGGACAGCATGGGTTGATGGTACAGACCACCAGGGCTGAGCAGAGGACCCATGGCTGCCCTCCCCATAGTGGTAAGGGAAGATTCGCACTCCAGAGAAGAAGCCGGAGCTGCCAAAAGTGCAGCTGAAATTAGTGGGAAGCACAGCAAAAGCTCCAGCTGTTTAGAATTAGAGTGACTATAAACAAATCATTCCCACAGATCCACCAAGCTTGCTTTTTAAAATTATTTTTATATCTGGTAAACAAGCCCACATTCTCTTTTCCCGGTTGCAAATGGATGAATTCTTCAGGGAATGATAATACCCAAACTGGTTCACACAGTTTGCTGTTCTTTCTCCACAAATTGCATAATTCACACATCGATATGATTTCCGCAATTGGTAGTTTTGGAAGCTTAGGGATTAGCTATAAACACTGCCATGTGCAATTACTCTCCAGTCTGGTTGCATGCACACCTGTCAGCTCCTTTTTATTCTGTTTTGCCAGCCTCAGTATCTAAATGTTATTGTGGCCATAAATACTCCTTCTTATATCACTTTGATCACGGGTAGGGGTATGGGATGATAAGCTCCTGTGGAGCAAAGTACTTGGTCCCAGGTGCTTATCTGAGTCTATACCTGGGATCCTCTCCTAGGCAGGTGTCATTCAGCAATACCAGCTCCTCTACTCCCATTGCCTCCATTTCAACAGTGGAATTAATGTCTCCTCCAATCTGGAACACACACTTAAGACTCTTCTATCTCTACTACACATGTGGATCATGTATGTAATCAGTCACAGTTTTACGTTCACTCTACAAAAGCGTTCATAGCAAGCGCAAAAACTCCTTTTCGTGGGCCAAGATAAATATGTCCTTCTGATTGTGTTCCATCCTGTCTAGGAGAGGGGTCTTTTCTCTTTACTCTCAACAGTCAGCATATATTTGGTATATATTTTATAATATAAGTCCTAAACTTCAAATGTCCATTTTGCAGGGCCGCTGTTCAAGAGAGAACTGCAAATATCTCCACCCTCCAACACACTTAAAAACTCAACTAGAAATTAATGGGAGGAACAATTTGATCCAGCAAAAAACAGCAGCCGCCATGCTTGCTCAGCAGATGCAGTTTATGTTCCCAGGAACGCCACTCCATCCAGTGGTGAGTATTCCTCCCTACAGATGGGTGGGCCATGGGCTGGCTCTATGGGTGATGCCCCTGTGATCTAACATGACCTTCCCCTACTTTGTCACTAACAATTAGAGCAAATAACCTTGTAGCTTTAGATGCTAGAAAATAGCTGTTGGTGGTTGGTTTTTTTTTTTTTCTTTTAATTTAAATGGAAAGATGTATGTAGAAACAGGGACCAAAGACAACCTCCAGTAAATATCTGCCTCACTCCAACCCTTTCTCATCAGTAAACTCCACGTCTGAACCACATGAGAATGGAAATGGCTCTACAATTTCATCTACAGTGTGGGCTGATCAGCTAGGCATTATTGAGGTTGTGATGTCTAAATTATTCTCAGCAATGTAGCAGCTAGTTTAGTTAGTTCAATGGCATCGTTTTAAGGATGAGGGAAGTAAGAAACCAGAGAAGATGAATCATTTCCCCTATGTCACACAGCTAATGAATTGTGAAGCAGGGCCTTGAACCTAGATTTGAGCTGGAGCCAGACAGCAGTCCTGGAAGAAGAAAGACAAGAGTGATGTCACAGATAGCACCACACCAGGTGGTCACTGCCTCCTCACTTCCTCACCTGTCTCTCCCAGGCCTGCAAAGGGTGTGGCAACTTTGACAAGGACAGCACGTTAAATATGCAAGGATTTAAGTGTAGGGATGTGTATGATGCAATGATTTTCCTGATTTCAGTGTTGGCAAGTCCTTCCTTCAAGGACTGCACATTGCTTTAAGATGAGGCCTTAGGGGAAGGAGTGCATTTCACTTTAGTGTATTTCACTTACATGTGTGAATTATTTGTCAAAACAAGCTAATTTAAAAAAAGAAAAGCCAAAATGAGTGAACTTTTTTTTAAGAAGTACATGCACAAAATACTATTGCAGAAAAACCAGCCTGCCCTGTAGGAAAAGTCTATGTGACAGAAAGCTGCTAAATTAAAAGGGAAAGCTACCAGTGGGTTCCAGTTTCTTTTTTTTTTTTAATTGTTTAAATTTATTTTAATGGCTACATCACCAGCCCATTAAGATTGTGCATATTTATGGATTACTGTGTGTTTTTTTTCTTTTATTCATTCATACATGCATACAATGTTTGGGTCATTTCTCTCCCCTTCCCCCCACCCCCTCCCTTACCTAATCCCCCCCACTGCCGTCCCCTCTACCCCCTCGCTACCAGGCAGAAACTATTTTGCCCTTATCTCTAATTCTGTTGAAGAGAGAGTATAAGCAATAATAGGAAGGACCAAGGGTTTTTGCTAGTTGAGATAAGAATAACTATACAGGGAGTTGACTCGCATTGCTTTCTTGTGCATGTGTGTTACCTTCTAAATTAATTCTTCTCAAACTAACCTTTTCTCTAGTTCCTGGTCCCCCTGTCCTATTGGCCTCAGTTGCTTTAAGGTATCTGCATTAGTTTCTCTGCATTGAGGGCAACAAATGCTAGCTAGTTTTTTAGGTGTCTTACCTATCCTCACCCCTCCCTTGTGTGCTCTCGCTTTATCATGTGATCAAAGACCAATCCCCTTATTGTGTTTACCCTTGATCTAATGTCTGAATATGAGGGAGAACATACAATTTTTGGTCTTACACTTATCCCAAAACCAGTTTCTTATTGTGTCCTCTGTGAGATGGGATAGAGAAGGAGGCAGGGGTAGGGTGGGGGGTGGGGGGCAAGGGGCAAGAGTAGAGAAGAGAAACCCAGCAGGTTTTTAGCAATTAGGCTTGTCTCCAGCTCTCTGCACAAAGTAGTCAGGAACCTGACTACTTTATTTATTTATTTATGATAAATAAATAAATGCCAGGAGCCAGGGACTGTAAAATGAGGTAGACAAAGCCTTTGTGAATAGACCAAGGCCAGGTAAGACTTAGGTCCTGGAGAGGCTGAGTGGTGAGGAAGGCAGTCTCAAATATGTGCATCCTACAGGATTAGTGAGACCTAGTGGGTTTGTATGGACTTTTCACAGATATAGTTTGGAACACATTTACTCAAAACTAGGCATTTACATAGTTCTGCTTAAAACTAGGCACATGTATAAATTGTAGTTCTCCTTTGATGTGCGCATGTAAATTCTTTTATGAAATTACTTAAATGCGAAAGTAATACACTTATACTTATTCAGTAATGTCTGTGGCCATAAATTTTGAGCCAGCGAGGTCAGCACAGTAATAGTATGTTGTCTAAATTATATGTCTCACTTATTTGAATCATATACTTTCTATTTATTTAGAATTCATAAGAATTGGCCCTGGTAATTAATGGCAGTGTTAATACGAAAATACCATTTCTACTGTTAACTGTTAGTTGAACTGATGTTGAAAGTTATGTTTATGTATTTGCCTCAAATATTAATTAGAAGTTGATAATGACCTTTCTCTTTGAAAAAGGAATATTACATTAAAATATTTCAATAGAGGTTTTTAAACCCCCAAAAGTAGTAAAATTTAAAAGATGGCATGTCTAATAAGCATCAATTCTACCAGCAGATCCCCTCAGAAATGAGTTAGTACAGTGCGGTTGGTTGAATAATGGCTCTCAGAGGTGCCTGGGTCCTACACATGTCACTTTATATGAAAACAGGGTCTTCGCAGATATGATTAAGAATCTTGCGTTAGGTTGGTGGTGCACATCTATAATCACAGCTACTCAGGAGGTAGAGACAGAAAGATCTCTATTCAAGACCAGCCTAGGCAAAAGTTAGTAAGACCATATCTCAAAAAACAAACTAAACATGGTGGCACACACCTGTGGTCTCAGCTATTTGGGAGATTGAGACAGGAAAATTGACAAAGTTAGTAGGTGACCCTATCTGAATAACAAACTGAAAGCAAAAGACTTGGGGAGTGGCTCGAGTGGCAGAGCATCTGCCTAGCAAGCGGGAGACCCTGAGTTTAAACTCCAGTACTGAAACATAACAAAACTCTTGAGACTGTGTGATCCTCCTGTACTAAATGCAATCACAAGAGTCCTAATGAGAGAGGCAGAGAAAGAGTTGGCACAGATAGGAGAGAAAGCCAACGTGTCCACAGAGGCAGAGATTGGAGTGATATAACCACATGCTAAGGAAAACCACTGGCCACCAGAGATGGAAGAGACAAGAAATGGATTTTCCCCTAAACCCTCCAAAGGAAATGAGGTCCTGCCAACACTTTAGTTTGGCCCGGTGAAAGTGATTGTGGACTTCAGGTCTCTACAACTATGGAAAGATAACAGAGTGCTGTTTTAAACCATCAAGTTTTTGATAATTTGTTTACAGCAGCCACAAGCAAAGAACAGATGTGGAAATTGTTTAAGACAAATTGATGAACATAGAGAAACAAGAACCACTCCATTACTGGGTCTCCTTCTAAGTTTCATTTTTCTAAAGCACCAAGTGTATTTTCTCCACTCCTCCTTCCATCCCTGAACTTATCCACTTAACTCTCTCACCAGTATCCTCTCAATTACCAAACCAATGGTCACTTTTGCCATTGCTAAAGTCTGGGTGTTGATGTCTACCCAAAATTCATATGCTGAAGTCCTACCCTCCAAGGTGACAGAGGAGATAAGGCCGGCCTTTGGGAGGTCATGAGGGTGGAGCAGTTATGAGTAGGATTAGTGCCCTTAGAAGGAAATATACGAATGTTGTCCTTCCACCTCAGGAGGATACAGCCAGAAACAGCCATCTATGAACCAGGAAGTGGACTCACTACAGGTTTAATCTGCCAGAGCCTTGACCTTTGACTCCCCAGCCTCCAGAACTGCAATATATACATTTCAGTCATTTAAAACCCACTGAGTTTATGGCATCTTATTATAACAACCCAGATGAATGAGTACAATTATGCTGAGCCTCCTGGCCACACTGAACACATGGCATTAGTCTCTCCTTTGTTGAACACGCCTCTCTCTGAACTCTCTCTCTGTGTTTCCAGTTCACGGATCTACTACATTGTGAAGTTTCTAGACTGAATATTTCTTCCCTCTTGTTCATAGCCTAATCCATTCCTGAAGCTATAAATTTGCAAGCTGAGAACCCCCAAGTGCATGTTTCTGATCCAAACCTCTACTCTGAGCCCCAGGCACATAAATCCAACTTCCTACTAGATTCACCATTAAATTTCTTATAGGAACTTGACATGTTTAAAACCAAGTCTTCATTCCACTACATTCTCATTTCAAACCACAGTCTCCAACCAAAACCTGGCAGACTGTCTCACACACTCTCTGACATATGGTTCATCAGTAAGCTCTGTCATATTTACCTTCAAAGCCTTCTACTTCCCACCTCCCAGCACCCTCGTCTGAACCACCATCAACTTTTCTTGATATGATGTTGTAAGCATTTCCTTCTAATCTCTGTTTCTGCTCTTGCTTTACTCCAGTATTTCCAACATACAGCAATCAGAGAAATCTTTTAAAAACATAGTAAGACTCCATTAATCCCTTAAAACCTCTGAATGCTTCCCTGTATCACTGGAACAAAGCCTACACATTCAGCCTTGACTGTGACCCAGATGTCTTCTGTGTTGTGGTCCCCATCCAGCTCTGGAGACCCCAGGCCCACTAGTGTAATGTATTGGGAAAGTAGGGGAAAGTTGGAGACTAGGGAGAGGAACACAGGAACACACAGTGGAGAACAGAGGGAGGAACTAGCAGGACCAGCATTTCAGAAGTGATTTTCTTCAAGATGCTTTCTGCAGTTCTTGTCCTCTGGTCTCTTCAGCTGTGGGTTAGTTCCGAGAGATGACAGGGGCCAGATGGATGCTGTCTCTGACCCCTCTGCAGTAGCAGTGTGCAGAAACTGCAGGCTCATCCTGCAGCTGGAGTTAGGGTGCTGGCAGAAACATGAACTCAGACACCAGGACACCTTATTGGCTTAGACTCTATCTCAGGAGACACATTTCTGGGACCTGAGAGCTACTTTTACAAACCAGCAGGGTTCCCTGCAGCTGTTCAGAGCAGCCTACATCTTATCTGTAGCAGGTTCAGACCAATTGTAGAGCATGTACTCCTCATATAAACTCCAAAGGCACATGGGCAGCTGGTGTTTTTCTTTTTTCGCCTCTCCCTCTTTTATTCTAAGAAATTACCAACAAAATCTATGGTATGTCAAGCGTGAACATAGCCCCAGACTGGAAGGCAGGAGTCTGGGTGCTTTGCTTTGACTGGGCCTCAGCCACACTGAGTGGCCCTGTCCTTCAGTGTCTTGTCTCCTAACTGGCTCTGCCCTGCAGGCCTTCCGTTCCCGCTCAGTTGGGAATCTACACATCCATGAAAAATTGACATGGAGATGTAGGGAAGAGCTCTTTTCTGTACATGTTTACTTGATAATTCACCTCTGAGTTAAGCTAATTGTTCAGTATAAGTAGGGGTTTTTTAATAACTGTTTTCACTCCTCACTTATGACAGTGGTTCCCAAATTCAGTCATGCATCACACCAAGAGTGATTTTTTTTTTTTAATGAGAAATTCAAGGTTCCTGCCTAGACCTATTACGTCAGAGTTTATCTCTACTTTAAAATTTCCTCCCAGGCATTTCTGATAGAGCTGGTCCATTGTATCCCTCGTGTGTGATTTATGATGTTTCTAAATAGATTTTTAAAACAATCCTAGCATTGCATAGTCCTTATGGTATTAAGTAACTTGGTTTTCTCCAGTAGTACTAAATTATAAAAGCTGCAGCTACTGAAAAATCACAACTTTCTATAATTATGACTCTGATGAGTAACATATACATATAAAATTTTGTGGAAAGTCAAGGGAGAAAAAAAATCCTAACTGTCATCCATTTCCCATGGTGAGACCTCATGTTGCAAACTCTCCCAAAGCAAATTTTGTGTCTGAGCCATAAAGATGTACGAGCTCCTTGTGGAAGGACTGAGCAACGACCGTCTGAGATCACTAGAATCACCTTTCAGCCCTCAATAAAGACTTTCCGACCTCTCCAGGATCTCCCTGCACAAGCTTTCAATCATTTGCTGATTTCTAACATGGACCATTTAGAAGAGATTTTTTTTTCTGTTATTGTAAAGAAAAGTGTGTTTATACAACATGGATCAGTGTTTTTCCCATATGTTAAACACCTCATTTCAGTCATAGACAAAAGAATGTCACTCATGATGTATAAATAGAAAAGTGGCATGACACCAGTGACAACATAGTTCTGCTTAGAAAGTTGCATTGACATAGGATGGTAAATATTTGAAAACTTATCCTGAAAATAAATAAGGTTAAAAATTGTTTATCACTAAAAGTAAACCAACCAACCAAGAGCTATTCAGGTCCAAATCAGTGTAAAATTTATTCTAAGGAAAATATTTAGCATCTAAAATTTTTAATAAAGATTCTTTAGAGGTGAAGCACGATTTGTTGTTCTCTTCTATGTATTTGATTTCTTTTCTGAAAGGCAGATTTATTTACATATTAATAAGTGGGGCTTTTAAGGATAATCATCTCATCAACCTAATAGCTTATTTCTTCTTAATAGCTTATTTCTCCTGAACAAGGAGCAGTGATACAGGATGCATTTTTTTTTTTAGCAGTACAGAGCTTGGGCCTTGAGGCACACCCCCAGCCCTTTTAACTTTAGCTTATTTTTCATATAGTGCCTCATGCTTTTGCCTGAGGATGGTCTCTGGGATTACAGGTGTGAAGTACCATGCCTGACTTTTTTTATGGGATTTGAACTCAGGGCCTCACAAGTGCTTGGTCAGTGTTCTCCCACTTGAGCTACTCCACCAGCCCTTTTTTTTGTATTTGGTATTTTCAACATAGGGTCTCACAAACTATTTGCCCTGGCTGGCTTCAAACCATGATCCTCCTGATCTCTGCCTCCCTCGTAGCTAGGATTATAGGCGTGAGCCACTGGCACCTGGATCTGGCTTGTTAACTTTTTTTGCCCAGGCTGGCCTTCAACCATGATCTTCCTACCTCCACCTCCTGAGTAGCTGGGATTAGAAACATAAGTTACCATTTTGTGTGTGGGGGGGTGGATGGGTGGGTATTGAACTCAGGGCCTCAGTAGGCAAGCACTCTACCACTTGAGCCACACCGCTACTCCTGAGAGTACATTTAATAAGTTACTCTATGCTTTTGTCACTACCTGTTGACTTTGTGACCTAGGAAACCAAACCAACTTTTGGTGGCCAAATGAGAAATTGGTCAGTTGAAAATTTCAGCTCTGCTCTCCAACCTCTCGGGAATGGAAGGTTGGGTTGAGACGTGGTTGAAATAGAGCAGAAAATAGTAGGTACATATGAAAACTGTGCATGAATTTGGAGAATATACATCCAGTAATGGAGGATGGTTAAGTCTGAACTAAATTAAGCCCCAAGTAAGCCCCACTTTTGGGAAATGTATAAATTTGGTCAACGTGAACGTATAGTCAAGAGTTATCCTCTTCCCCACCTTTGAGAGAACTGTAAGAGAAACCAAAGGTGATCAGTTTATACCCCATAGCCTTGGTGTTCAAAGTTCAATAGTTTGGAAGGATGAGTAATTAGAGTGGAAATTATTTTCTTTGGTTGAGAACACTTTTATAGGAATGAAAGTTTAATTTGTCCCCGGTAACTAGGTTTCTATGGTGATCGCCCATGTTTTTGTATAGTTTGGGGAAGAAAGAATCTGTATGGTTTTCATTTTAATTAAGCAAAACAAAAAGGGGTGTTTACTGAACTTTTACAATTCGGTGTTGACTTCTGCAGCTAACAGAATATCATATGAAATGGATACCTTTTTGCTCAAATGACCCTTGTGGGTAATTGTTTAAAGTTTTATTCTAAAGAAATCCTTTTCTTGTGTTGTTTTCCTTTAACAGCCCACGTTTCCTGTAGGTCCTGCCATAGGGACAAACACGGCTATTAGCTTTGCTCCTTACTTAGCACCAGTAACCCCCGGAGTTGGGTTAGTTCCAACGGAAATTCTACCCACCACACCCGTTATTGTTCCCGGAAGTCCACCTGTCACTGTCCCGGGTTCAACTGCAACTCAGAAACTTCTCAGGACTGACAAACTGGAGGTACTTGGATTATGTTTGCATGTTGAAGAGGTGCATTTGTGGTAGAGGTATACTTCTCTATAAATGAATGCTTGTGAGGTCATTAGGTTCTGCGAAATGCTGTGCACACACCTACACACACATCCAAAACGCGTGTGCTCACAATTCTATGATTTGAAATTAACGCCAAGAATAAAGGAAATTAATCTGTGGAAAATAACACCTTTAATAGTAACAAAAATCAGCTGCATGGAATATGTTTAAGGGCAAAATGTTTACTTATCGATACAATTTTGAATCAATCATGACAAGCTATAGAGATGGCTCCAGGTCCTGACAGGCTCCCACTGTGTCCAGCATTAGCCCTTACTGGCTCTTCAAAAGTTCTGGAAATGGTTAAGAGCTGGGCATTCAGGGCAATGGGACACACCCAGGGACGAGGGTGGGAGTAAGTGGAACCGCAGATACTAACCAATTGGCATGATCATATTTCAGTACTTTCAGAACAAATATGACTTCTCTAGCATGTTCTAGAATATCAGGCTTAAATATTTCGCTAGAAAACAGGGAATTGGAGGCTGAGTAAATTTAGCTATTAATTCTTTAATGTAAATACAAATGTTCTATAAAATTCAGAAAACAAATCCATATATTTATAAAACATAAACTTTTAAGCTTTGAGTCAAGCCAACTCTCCTGTACTTTGTTGAGTAAGATTTCCCTCCAGTCAGAGCTACAGAATTGTCCTATTAACCTTATTATAATGTCCCTATGACATCCAGTAGAGCATTTTATAAGGTCACATAAACATTCTGAAAGATTTTTCAAAGACCTCCTTTAATTCCAGTACTGATTAATGCTTCTAGTGATCTGTATATACTCAGAACGTTGGATCATCAGGGAATATTTTTCCATTGTGTATTCATTTAGTTTTATCCCAGTAAAGACAGCAAAATGTTTACTGCTTAACCTCTTGTGAGTGTTGTAGAATTCAGAATGTCAAAACGCAAATAATTTTAAAGATATATGTTTCTTCACTCCGCTTCAATCTGGAGTATATGGACCCCTAAGTGAAGAGAATGTAAACTACTCACTACTGTTTTGAAAAGATCTAGCCTTTCCTTGTGACTGTTAATGAGTAGAACAGTTAATAGGCCTGGAAATGTTTTGGGCTCCACCTGCTGGGGCCAATGAATCTTTAGCGCTTAGGATATGACTGTATTCAGAAAACAAATTAAATTAGAAGAGTTGAGAACAAATAGTCTTTTCCCACCAGGGTTGGTAGAGAAAGACACATGTACAAATGATTCCTAAGGACTTTAGCAGAGCAGCTTCCAGTCCATTTCAAACCAGGAATAAACTCAGCTGCACCCCAGAAACCCTGGATCAATGCCTAGTCTCTCCCTTTGATACTGTCACAGGCAGTAGTCATTTATAGAGAAAGGATTACTCTGAGTTCTGAAAATATGTACTTTGTACATTTTATGAACTACAGATGAAATGTTAGCTAATACCCAAAGTAGAAGGAAACAATAAACAGCTCTGTGCCTTATCTTCACCTTTCAATCTCATCTGGCTACTTGTCAGTTTCTCGAGTGTGTTTGACTTTCACAAGACTTGAAGTTCGTCAGTGACCCTCATGTCACACCACTGGTGACCAGGATGAGAGCCACTGCTTCTCATGTGGCTGTAGAACTGGAGCCTAAAAAGAAATAAATAACTTGCAATTCCACTGGCTGCCGTTCCCTGCTAGTGATATTTAGAAGCAGGAAGGAGTTACATAATTAATTTATGTTATTTATCTTATTTCACATTGTTTATATTTGGAACATAATTAAGAATGTTCTTCAAATTCCAGTACTACTCCCCCCACCAAAAAAAATAAATACTCTTCAAATTCTAAAGAAATCTTTCTTTATGTAGTAAAATCTTATTCTATTAGAGGATGAGGAATTTTAGTTACTATAGATTGCAGGAAATTTAAGGATTAAACAAGTTAAAAAATAAAAGCAACACTTCTACTCCCTCCTTTTTCTCTTGCTGTATCTCTCCTTTTTTTATTTTATCTTTTTTTGGGGACGAATCAAAATAATACTATACTGACCTTACAATGAGAGATCTGGTGTCTGAGGTGTTGTAGCTCTGTGTAGAGCAGGGAGGAGGTCCTGGAGGCTAGACTGTTCCTGTTCCCTGGGCCCTGCTTCCCTTCCTCAGGTGGAAGAGCAAATGTGCCATTCTATAATTTACTGGAATTGTACACTGGGGTAGCTTGGTCTATACTGAGATTATTCCGGCAAGCGAAGAAACCTGTAGCATCTCCTTGAGTGATTGCAAAGGTGGGAGACTTGTGTGTGTGTGTGTGTGTGTGTGTGTGTGTGTGTGTGTGTGTGTGTGTATGACATATGTGTGTATATATATATATATATGATACTATATAAAAATACAGATAATGGTTTATATGATGGGTGACAGGTAGCTATGGTAAATTCAAAAGATACATGGAATGATAACCATGGACAATGATGACTTTGTTGATTTTTTTTCATTGTTATTTTGGCTAGATTTCAGATTATTTTCTCAATTTCAACATTCACCTTAGCAGAACCGGGCGAAACAAAACTCAAATCAGTTTGCTGGAGATTCTTGTTTCTTGGGTTCTGGAGAATGAAAGCTTTATCCTCAGTGGCACAAAAGCCACCAAGAAAGGAAAGGCCTGGGTCCCTTCGTCAAGGGCAGGTGGCAGTGGTGGCAGGCTGGGGAGCAGAGGCTGGGCACCAGGCTGGCTCTGCATGGCGCCTTCTCCCTTGTCGCAGGTATGCAGGGAATTCCAACGAGGAAACTGTGCCCGGGGAGAGACCGACTGCCGCTTTGCACACCCCGCAGACAGCACCATGATCGACACAAACGACAACACCGTAACCGTTTGTATGGATTACATAAAGGGGCGTTGCATGAGGGAGAAATGCAAATATTTTCACCCTCCTGCACACTTGCAGGCCAAAATCAAAGCTGCGCAGCACCAAGCCAACCAAGCTGCGGTGGCCGCCCAGGCAGCGGCGGCCGCGGCCACTGTCATGGTAAGTGCGGGGTGCGCCCGCACCGGCCCCCGGCCGCGCTTGGGGACAGCTGGGAGGCAAGGCTGCTATTCCCCTGCTCCGCTGCCTCAGTTCTGTTGTTGTTCTCCCTTTTCGTTTTGTTTTGTTGTTTTCCCCTCCTTCCCTTCTTCGGCACAATAATAAATCCCTAAGGTGCAGGGAACCCAAGGCCATCTGCCATGGAGCCACAGCATCCAGTCCTGCCTCGAGGCCACCCTGTAAGAAGTGGGGTCTCCCAAACAGAGCAGAGGGGCTGGGGCCTCTAAGCTTCAGAGCAGCGGGGGAGGAGAGCTGTGGCCTCAAGAGATGCCTAGCGACAAGTGAGAAATCGGGGACTGGCTTTTCCTATCCCCAGTCCTCCCTCTTCTTTCAATTGTCACAGGACTGTGTTGTTAACCTACCACCTCCCCAAGCGTGAAATTTTTTGCAGAACAGAAATTCATGAAATCTGAGAATGGAAGTGAGCTAAAATAAAGAAAAAACAAAAAGACCCCATAACCGAGGCCTGCCTCCCTGAGCTCCTTACTGTCCCTCAGGGACCAGCAGCTACACCATTGTCCTCACCTGGGAGCCTTGTTGCAGCTCCTGAATCTTTGGCCACAGCCTAGCGAGGCCTTTGAGATCAGAACTTGAATTTGAAAACAGTCCCAGTATTTCATAGGAGCGTAGGATGCCTTGGCTATGTTTGGGATTAAGTGACGGACTTGGGAAGGATCTAACATTGATCTCCTCCCCCAGAATCGCTCATTCCATTGTCTGGCATGGCTCAAGCAAGTGTCATGGCTTTGAAAGTTCCCAGGCGATTCCAAAATACATTAAAGTTCAAGAACAACCACCCCAGGCTCCAGATGTTTCTAAAAAGAGTGATCTGGCTTATCAGAAGTCTACTTTAGTAGATGGTAGACACCATCTACCCTTCACTGAAAACATTTAGAGACCAGCCAAGCACCAAGCTTGGATGGTGAGTAGGATAATAATAAATGAGGCAAGTTCCTTCCCCCTCCAGAAGCTTGGACTTGTCAAGGTGAGAGCAACAGTCCTCCTTAGTGACTGGATGGAAACCCATGGTGGGCCAGTGGGACACCAAGACTCAGTGGCCACTCCATCCTGGGGACACATAGATAGGACTTCAGAGATAAAAGCTATCATTTGAAAACAAATCGTTCTAGCTAGCAACCACCAACCACATCATACACTGATGACTGAGGGAAGTGGAAGGGTAGCTGTCACACCCAGATGCTCACTGTCACTCTACATTCTTCTCACAAGAGTTTCTGAAGGCTTCGACCTATGGTAAGTAATAGGGTTGCAGAAAGGCACCAAACCTGTGCTGACACAGTCATGTGTCACACAGATCTTCCCTATTTGAGCTTGTCTCCAAGCATCTTAAGAAGTGGGTCCTTCCTCCATCTCTTCTTTTTTCTCAGAGATCTTGTCCTTTAAGTGTTCTTGTTTCTTGTCCTTTTCTTTCGTAAGTCCTCAGGCATAAGTTCCTATCCATGTGGGGATATACATGTCCACACAACAAGGTTAATAAAAAATAGGGAATCTCTCTTTGAGTTCTAATGAAAGACAGACTTCCAAAACTCATTACAATTCAGAGTGAGAAAGAGGGATGGGAAGATGTGAGTCCATTGATACTTCAGAGTGGATGAAGAAGGAATTCCTCCAGGGAGCAAACATGTCCTTTATACATTTTTTCAGGGTGTGGAATCCATTGTTCTACCACTTAGCAAAGATCTCATCCTAGAAGAAGGAAGATTTTTTTCTTCTTTCAATCCTTTTTTCAGGCCAGTTCCAACTTGTTCTAATTGACAGTGAGGAAATGTTTTCCCATAGAATTCATATTCTACATCACAGCCAGGTACTCAGGGTATCGCCAAAGCAAGCCAGGGCAGTAGTAGCAAGGAACAAAAACCCAACTAAAGTAACTTCAATGACAAAGGATGATGAAGTGCCCTGCAAAGAAGAGAGGACAAATAAGACTCAGGAAAGGTCCAGTACAGTAACTTAAAAGCCAGTACGTCTCTCTCTGCTGACTCTTCTTTCTCTTCTTGTCTCTCTTGGCCCATCAGCTCTATTCTCTAAGGTCAACTTTTTTCCATGACACAGACTATGGCTTTGGACATCTATAGGAACACATTCTTAACATTTCTTAACAAGGGAGAAAACAGTATCCTCTATACCAGCTCTAATTAGGGGCAAAATCATTTAGTGTCATTTTGACATTTTGGTGGCTGTCCCTATAGTCAGAGTAATAAAGGAGCTATGAGCTTGAGTCATAATGTCTCACCACTGTAATATGAGATGAGGTTGTAGATATAAGAAAACACTAGTCCCTGTAATTCAAATACCTATTAAGACAAAGACTAGGACATCATAGTGACCCTAGTGCTGAGCTCTGGTTTTATCTGCACCCTGGTTTTAGCTGACTGTTTCCTAAAAGTATCAGCTCTAACATCCCCAATCAATTCAGATTTCAGTCATCAAAGGAACAGAATACCTGGTAGAGGTCAATGGGAGGTGGCCCAGGCTGCTGGGACTACAAACACAAATGTCCATTACACAAATAGGTCATCCCTCAGCCTCACAATGGGAAGCCGAAGTTGAGCTCGTCACGGGCCTCCCACTTCATGTACACGCATGGAAAAGGTTCCATGTCACGATGCATGAAGGTTGCACAGTAGGTGCCACAAGACTTAGTTACCATAGTTTCTGGGATTGTTACACCGTGCCCAAATTTGGAGCTCTGAGAAGTCAAAGAATCTTGCAGCATCTTTAGAGACAACCCAAAGGAATGTAGTTTCAGAACAAAAGCCAGCATCTTCCTGACAATGACATGAAAATTACTGAATCTGTCATGTTTTTTTAGTGGAAGTGGGAGACTCATCTGAAGCCAGCAAGATTACTCAGTGTACTGCAGCAAAAACTATTACCTTATTTCCTTATTTAAAAGGACAACTGGGAGTGATGACTACTGTTAGAAGGTATTAATATTCACCTGGCTCCCACATGTGCACCCAAAATATTTCGATAGTGCCATTTTTATCAATGTCCAGGGATTTCCCCCTTATTTTGATTAATCAGACCCTAAAATCAGAACTTAAATCTTTGACCCTGAAAAAAGAGACATTTATTTCCTTTTGAGCTTTATTCTTTTGTAATACCTCTTAAAACATAAGTATCACTCTCACCAGAATTTTTGAAATGTGAGAATAAGCCAGACAGAGCTTCTCTTTGGTAGTTTTAACACAAAGGGTGTTTGATCTTAATGCACACAGTCTGTGTTCACATAAACCAAAATGAGGCGACACAAGGAGAGAACTAGTTTGTGAAAGGAAACAGGACGGGCTGCCATGGGCTAGATAAGCATCAATTGTTCAGGAAACATGCCCAGAAACTTTGAATTCCATCCTGCCTGTCCATGTGCTTTTATCTCCATTAAAGTGGCAGTTCTGCTTATTTTTGTCTGGGTTTCCTGATCCCTCGGGTTTGTCTTTGCCTGTAACACTAGCACGGGTCCTTAGTGTGCTCACTTTGACCTGTGGTGGGGTGGTGCCTTGACCTAGAAAAAAAAAGAAAAGCCTGGCTGCAGATAGAGCCTCCTCCCACTTCCAGCCATATACAGGAGGCTGAAGGGAGTACCCAGGGGGCCAAGGAGTGTCAGTGAGACCAGCAAGAATGGGTGCTAGGTGTCTGGCCCAAAGTAGGAGCTCAATTAAAAAGAATCTCTCTCTCCACTGGAGCCTAAACAGTCTCCTAGCATGCACTGGGCTCCTCGTGTTTAAGATCAAGTATAAGCTTAAAGATCTTCCAGTGTAGAGAGATATGCTAGCAGTCAGTGTTATGTAAACCAGAATGCCTGTGTACCCAAAACTCTTATTGTCACATGATATCCATCCATACAAAAATCCGTGCTCCACACATGCTTCACACTGGGGGGCATATTAAGACCTTAACATGTATACCCTCCCCTGCAAAGCCTGTTTATCTTGAAAGAAGATATTTGCATCGAATAAACAAAACACACTATTCAGTGGAAGAGACATGTTGTCTCTTTCCTGCTCACTTTAGAGTTCTCAGTTTCTTCTCACTCCTAAATTATCCTAAATTCTATGGAAATTAGATTTCAACAAACTAAGAAAAGAAAAAAGAGAATATTAACTTTCTATATGATTATCCTAAAAAGAGAGACTTAGCATGTCTTACTCTAGTTGGAAACTTCATTCAATGATGCTTTGTCAAAGCAAAATTTTGTTCATACATACAAGTTGCTGGAGACTCTTCTAGACAGTATGTCAGAAAAGACCCACGCAATAGTAGATAAATTTTCTATAGACCCAGAGGACTGAGAAAAGTGAAGGTGAAAATTGAGTCTGGAAAGTTGACCAAAATGATTTTGCCTTTAACCATCCTGTTAACGTTCAGAGAAAGCTCTTAGGCTCTGTAGCCTTCTTTAGTTAATGCAGATTCATTTAAGCTCAAAAAACTAAATGAGCCCCACATTACTTACCCATGTGAAACCATGAAGGGATGAAAGATTTTAAACAAAATGGCATCATGGAAATTACATGATATCGAGCCTACATTGGAAGAACAAAATACCCAGAAGCTTTCTTATTGTTGAGCTGCTTGGGTTGTTTTTGTTTTTAATGTTCACGGTTTTACTTTCACAACACTGAATTAATATTATTGGATGCCTTGTATCAAAACTCCCCTCCAGAATATTTTCTTTGCTATTGGCCATTATAAATCTCATCTCTATCTACAGTTCTTCCTACTTTAATTCTCTCTCTTCGCCACTCCCTGATTCTTTGACTGTCTTGCATTGTACTTCTTTTCCTAAATTATCATTTAATGCTCAACAACCCTTTATTTGCCAAGGAAAATGTCATTAATTATTCCCATTTACCCCAACTAATTATTCCCAATTTTTTCAAATGCCATGGCTGAGAACTTTAGAATTTAAATTCTTAATTATTAGACAAACCTTAAGGATTTACCTATTGTGCTTGACATAAAAAAGGGATATTTCATTTCTCTTATTTGCATTGTAGCTATTCCTTTGAATTTCTTTATTTTCATAGAATTCCATCATTGAATTTTTCCATTTTTTTAAAGGCAATTAACCAGGAAGAGAAACATTTTTCATTACGGTCTAAATTAACCCACATTTGTTATTACTTCAGTTGTTTAAAATGAAACTATCTTCCCAGAAGTATGGTTATAAGTTAAAGATATCATTTACTTCTAATCTTTAAGCAGTTCTTTGCTATTTTTAGCTACTTACTTATTATACTTGTTCTACATGAGTTTCACTTCTCATTAGTTGGTTTAATCACTAATCTTCGCTAAAAGTACAAATATAATTACTAAGCAGAAATTATCTAAATACCCAAGGACACTAAATACCTTTTTAAAGGGTATTTTCTTAGCTTAACCGGTAAGTTGTTTGAAATAAATTATCATTTCAAATATAGTAGAAAGCAGAATGGATGATAAGTTAGTCACGAGAAGCAGAAAAATTGAGTAAAAGTGAGAAATTTTGGAAACTCACTGCTTAAATTCAAAATGTATTTGAGCTTGGAACATCAGTCCACATGAGAAGACCCGTACTAGCAGAGTGAAGAAAAAAATTGAGACAATTACTGACATGATTCAGACAAAAAATAAAGATCCAAACCCAAACAATTTTGCCTACATAAATCTTGTGTTTGAATATTTTTTTGCCTGAATTTTTTTGTCTCAGTTTGTCACTTCATTTTGTTAGGCTAGCTCTGAATTAAAAATTATCTTTATGAAAATTTTCAAGTTGGATTGGTGCTCAATGTCTTCCTTATTTTGTGTTTGAAAACTAACTTATCAGAAGTTCAATCCGATGGCCCTTGAAAGTGTTGCATTTTTTTTTCTGAAGCACTATAAAAAAAATGCTTATGGTGTGCAAGCTGCTGTTTTAATTAACTTTCCTGAATTTCAAACGTCTATATTTTACTCTCTTATATGCTTTGAACTAAGGTACAGTAGATGCATTTTTTGCTTCAATACTAATTTAAGGTGTAATATTCATTTCTTTAGAGAACATTTTTGTTGTTGTGCATGCCTGGTGTTTTGTACGTTGTATATTGCATTCAGAATATTTTTTTCCTTCTCACCTATCCACAATGCAATGCCGTTCCCATGATGCACCTCTGCTTGCTGTTTACCTGTATGTTAATTCGCTTGAATCCCATTGGCCCACTGCCATCATGTGCTCGCTGCCTGTTATTAAAAGACTCAGTCGACTGCCAAAGCAATGAAGCGACCTCTCGAAGCAACTGTAGACCTGGTACTTTGACCTTTCACCTTTCGCTTTGCATGTAGCTTTTCAGAGAACCGTGAGATTTGTATTACTTGTAAAATATTGGTTGCCACCAATCATTATTAGTAACTTAAAAATGGAAAAAAAAATTCAATAAGGTGTTTTGCCATCTCATTTTCATATGTAATCTGTGAAATAAATTAATCCTAACAAATTTTAATACCTTTTCCAAAAGAGTGAAGCAAAATTTACATTACTCGGCTCAGAAAATGCTCACTATAATTCTTAATAACCTTTAAATTCAAGAAATTGCCATTAAGATAAAGAATAGGTATTAATAATAACACAAATGCTTTTTTTTCTCCCCTGTAGAATAGTCTAACCCGTTTTAAAAGCTGATGCTATTTTTTTTAATTTTCGTTTTTGTTGCTTGATAGTTTTTCTTTTCCTTAGTTGAGATGCTACTGTTTTTTTGGGTTACAGAAATCATGCTTCCGCTCTCAATAACAAATTCTCACTCATTCAACATTGCCGCTGTTTAAATTAAGGTGCATGGCAGAGGCATCTCCTTAGCTGTCATTTTATTTAAAAAAAAAAATGTTGCAATTGATGGTCTCTGTGGACATGGAAGGTGTGTTTGCTTTAAGTTAGACATATCTTATCCAATTCTTCATTTCTAGGCCTTTCCCCCTGGTGCTCTTCATCCTTTACCAAAGAGACAAGCACTTGAAAAAAGCAACGGTGCCAGCACGACCGTCTTTAACCCCAGCGTCCTACACTACCAGCAGGCTCTGACCAGCGCACAGTTGCAGCAGCATGCAGCGTTCATCCCCACAGGTGCGTGCCCTTCCCGACCATGTCTGTGTCCTCGTGCCCTTCCGGTCATGTGCTTTCTTCTCATTTCTTTAAGCTGTTCGGTGGCATCTTGTTTGCATCTAAAGGGTGCAATACAGCTGAGATGTATCATTGTCCTAGATACTAGATGTCTTGACCTTGCTTTGAAAGCTAAGGGCCGTTAGGATTCTAAAGCCAAATATTTTATAGGGCTAAGCGTCAGAGCAGTTAGGACTTTTGCTTTCATGTATTTACACAGCCCTGTAAAAATTGCTTATGTGAATAAGGCTTTATGTGTGACAATTTGTCCTTAACGCTGAATGATCTAAAAATAGCAATTCCAGTAAATACTAACCTTTTTTTCTATTTCTATTCAGAACACTAAAAAAAAAAAGAGGCTATTCCAATTAAAATAATTCTCTACTCATATTTTTATATCCATTCTCTCTCTCTCTCTCTCTCTCTCTCTCTCTCTCCATCCTTCTCAACATTCACCAAGTTCACAAATATATATGTATATATGTATGGGACTTTTCTCCTCCATTTCTGAGGCAGTGCTGATGAGTTGAGGTAGTATGGTACAGTAACTTCTCATTCCACTGAGAAATCAGTTATTTTAACCATAGGATCTCAGAGTTTAAAGGATTCTTAGTGATCTCCTCAAATAATTGACTATTTTACAGATGAGAAAACTGAGGCCTCCCTCAATGAGCAGGGACTTTCCAAGGTGGCACAGCTAAGAACCATCTAGAACCTGGTTCCCTGGGCCTTATCTAATTTATATAGCATGACATGGCCCACAGGAGTCCAAGAATGGATTCCACAGAGCTCTCTGAACAAATTAGATCAAAAAATCAAAAAGATTAAAGATCAAATAGATACATGTGAAGAAAAAAGTGCGTGTCAGCTCTCCCTGGTTTTTTACTCACTTCCCTGAACACAGACACAGATGTACACACACACACACACACACACACACACACCATCCACAAACACAGTGAGCTTAGCTTGGCTGTGGTTTTTGCTTTATACTCTGTGTTAGAAGCAGGACATGACTTCAACATCAGTGAGAATATCATCCATTGAGTATTTTATTTCAAAAGTCAAAATTCTTCATCCCACAGTAGTGAGTGGAAGGTAAATATAGACAGATAGTAATTTCAGTGAAAGGAACTTATTGATCCTAATACATGGCTATTGTTCATTTTCTATATTCCAAAGCATATCTGGAGCAGGATCAGAGGTAGATAAATATTTCTGTAATATCCTTCTTAAAAAATGTATACTTTAAAAAATCTGTTAAACCTGTAAACAACTATATTTATTATATCAAAAATAAATCAGGTCAGCAAAATGATTTTTAGGGTTTAGTTTTCTTATTTTTAGGTCTGCACCTACCCTAAAGTAAACCCATAGACCTGTAGAGAAAATCTCTAATTCAGTCTATACCAGGGCTTCACTCTTGCCCTATTTCAACCCTAACTAGTGACTATGCACTGTTGTCACATAGAAGCATTAGTACTTGTCATGCACTTGAAAAAACATAATGGTGAAATAGTTACTGCAAGGTCAGCTTGCCCCAGGGTCCTGTGTGGTTTCTACAAATTTCTCTTCATAGACCTCTTGGCCACTAGATATTTTAAGAGCGATAAAACATGACAGAGAGGAAAAACATAAAAGACATGTTTGTTTCTGAAGAATAGATAATAGTGTCATGACCATGTGCTGGAACTCCTTATGACACCCTGGACCGAAGCCTCAGAGACTTACAAGCCCTCTTACACATGTGATACTCCAATCCAATGAAGCCTGAGTGGCAAAATCACTGAGAGAACCCCCCTCTCAGATGATTCGTCTAGAAGCCTCTGAAGTCTGTCCAAAGCAAGGGTGAAAAACATCCCTTACGCGAAAACCTGGCACATCTCATGTTAAAGACTGGTATTGGCTCTGCTGTGGTTGTGCACTTCCACCCTCTGGTGGATCCTCTAGGAACAGCTCAGATGTTTCAATAACCCTCACACAGTTCACGGAAACCACTAAATCCTAGGAATTAGAAGTGTTACCGTTGGTTACATGATGTAAAGATCTTAGGGGACCTACATGTGCATCTCATGTTCTGAAACGGTATTTCAGCTGCTAAGAAACTTTCACGTTCCTCTTAAGTGATGAAAGAGAGAAGAATGTAATTCAAATAAAATTAACATAAGCTTTCTCCCACTTAAAAGCTGTAGCAGAAATGTCAGTGTTTATGGTAGACTGAGTTCTTATTTCAGGGTTTCTTTCTTATAAACCACATTTTCAACCTTGTTTTGTAAGTGGTAATGATAATGATTACTCTGTGTTAATCCTGGTTGTTTTTAAACCTCTGCAAATCAAGTGATGATGTTCAAAACTAGTTTTGTAATTTAGCAGATGGTGGACCCATTGTTTTTAAAGGGATACATTATTTTATTTTTCTGTAAATGTCTTATATAAGCAATTATTAGAAATACGAGGCAAAAGCATTTTTTGTTCTCCTGAAGGGTTACCTTCTCTTGAAAGGCCATAGCAACATTTTTTAACATGCTACTAAAATTCTCCCATGTGAATTTGGATTTTAGGAATTCGGCCTCCAGGCCATAAAGATAATAACATAAAATATCAGAGAAAACATGGGGTTCTTCACCAAAACCATACTAAGATAATTGGCTTCCTGTTGATACCCTCGCACATTGGCAGTGGGTAGAATTTTTCCCTTTTTTTTTTTTCTTTTTTGATAGTTATACCTTTTCTTTGCTATGTTAGGAAAGTGGCAAAACCATACACACTTACAAAAAGAACAGCACAATCACTCTTGGCATTTCTCTGACAGGTTTATTTGGAGTTTCCATGAGTGTTCTTATGGACAGAATCTCATTATTCTTCAAGGTGCTGTAGTTCTGTTAGCAGAAAGCATAATTTGCATTTTGCAGATGGAAAAACTGAGACTGTGTCTATATTTAAAGTGGTGTATAAAGCTAATAGGTTTATCTAGCTAGATTTTATTTATCTAGATTTTTATCTAGATCATTCTGGCTCACAAATACTAAAGATGAAATATTTGGTGCAACTGAAGCAGAAAATAGTTGAGGAGGCTTGTTCATAAATTTAGCACCCTTGTGAATGTTTCATCTGGCCAGAACAAAGGCAACCCACAGGATTCTTCCCTAATTTGTTTTCATTACATTCGAAGCAGAAAATAAGTCATACAGGGGAATGTGTGAACCCCAATATTGCCCAAAGATGAGAAACTATAAATGTTACAACATGAAAGATTTAGCCATGTTTTGTACAAACTATGTTCACATTAAAAATAATAATATTTATTTATTCCATTCAATTCAGCAAACATTTCTTGGTATGTTCTGGGTTCCAGAGATGGTAATGAGAATGCAGTGAGCCAGAATGAGGTTAAAACCAAATACAATGCACAGCAAGAAGGATGAGCCAAGGGTTTGAGCATTGCTGTTTAAGGATGAAAGAGGGAGAAGCAATGTGTTTTTTCTTCAGCATGCAGCAGGTGGTGGTCCAAAGCATATGGAGAGAGAAGACTTTCCAAAGCAGGACAGAGTTGCTTAAGACTTAGAAAGAGAGATGAGAGTTTTACCATTGAGAGAAAAGCATTCCAGGCAAGAGTGGGAAGAGTGTCTTTGAAGAGTAGTGTGAAGGACTCTCAGGGTTTGGGGGGTAGAAAGGAGGAGTCGGGTGCAAAGCCTTGTGACTTGCAAAGAAGAGAAAGACCAGAATCTGGCATGGAGTAAGAGAGCCACCAACATGGAACAAGCTAGGTGTTTCCAAAATTCACATCTCTCTTAGGCTCAGTAGAGAGAGAGGCTCATTGAATTAGTTTGGGTGAACATTTCGCCACATCCAGGATCAAAGCCAGAGTGATACAGCCAGTACCAGTCAAGCATGGCTAAAAAGAGCTGCTAGTGATTGTTTCATTTCTGATGACATTCACACACGTTTTATAGGAAAGCACTCCCATAAAGCCTGTCCACAGTGGAACAAGGGACTCAGAGGGGATTCTGATCAGGGTAACTTTGAATCCAGCTGACTTTAAAGTGAAATCATTCACAAACAGGGTGCTTCAATACATTTAAGGGGCAAATTTCTCCCAACACACCTCTTACTGATACCTGAGAATATGTATCCAATATATGTGCCTAGTAGACCTAGCCAGACACGATCTCTGCCCTCCTGAGTTAACAAGAGAGGAGGAGAGATAGACGTTCAACAAACACCCATCTAAAAATGTAATTAATATTTAGAGCACTCTGAATGAAAAGGCAAGGTTAAAAAAGAAAACATTTAGATAACTTAGGGATATAGGTAAAAGAAAAGTTGGACAGTTTTTTGAAGACATGACATGTACTTCAAGACCTAGAAGATGAAAAGAGGGGGTTAAGTTTATTCTAGAAAGAGTGTATAGCTTGTGGAAAACTCAGAAATCGGACAAAAGTGTGATGTGTTAAGTTCAAAGCAATGAAAAGCTAATCATTCTGGATCCGGGTACCAGGGAAGACAAGTGTAAGACAGTCTGGGGAGGTAGTCAGAGCCAGGGCCTCAGGGGACTTCATCCCCAAAGAAGTAGAAGCCAGTGAGTCAGAGGACTGATCAGGCCTGCATGGGGAGAGATGGTCTGGACTAAGGAGGGAAACAGTGAGGACATTGTCACATAGCTGTGATTACAGATGATAGACTCTGGGGCTGGAGAAGTAGCAGTAGTGATGGACAAACAGCCAAAGGCAACCTTCATTTCAGAAGCAGGCTGAGTGTCTTGTTGGTGAGTTGGACCCAGGAATGTCACAAGGGGAAGTGACATCAGGCATAACTTTCAGTTCAGGCTGGAGTGCTGCATGGATGGTGACGTCCTCCAGATATTTCCTGAGGTGGACAAAGAGACTCTGTGGGAAAGAGCAAAGTTTGGAAATGTTAAATTGGGGACACTTGTGGGACCCAAGTAAAAGCTCCAGGAGAGTAATAAGATGAAGATGAAGTGACTCAGGGCTCAGAAAAGAGATCTGGAAAGAACACAAAATGTGGAAGCCATGAGCTCATTGACAGTTTTTAAATGTATGGGTTGAAGGACACCCCAGGGGACAACTTGAGAAGATGTAGAGATCGAGAGTTCTGGAAAGGACAAGGATCCAGTGGGAAGAAGTTGCCTGAAAGAAAAGTCTGTGTGTGTATGTGTGTGTATGTGTGTGTGTGTGAGAGAGAGAGAGAGAGAGAGAGACAATGAGAAGAGAGAGTAGGATGCGCTCACACGTTTGTTGAAGAACTCAGTAGTAGCCCTCTTTTCTTTCCAGGTAACAGTGTAGGGTGTTGAAGGGCTCAGCAGAGACAGTAGGAATGTGCACACATCCAATTCTTCTAGGTTCACAGAAGGCAGTTCTGAAACTTTAAGCGGATATGCTTTCATTCATAAGAACTCCCTCTCTGCTCTGACACCTACATATCATGTACTTTCTTCAGTTATCAAATCCATATATTGCCTTGGTTTTCATTCCAAGGAGCTGAACCAGTGGTGATAATTCCCCAAAGCTCTCAATAGTCTTCAGTCCTCCACAATAAGCATTACCATGCCTCGTCAGAGTTTTGTGATTCATGTACCTTAGTAAGACCACCCACAGGTGAGGCAAATCTTCCTAGGGAAGGGCTGAGATCCCTCTCCTTTCCTCCCACCTACCTACTTAGACACCAGCTTAAGATTTCCTACAAGTCTTGCAAAAGCCTCCCTCAGGGATCAATTTGCAGTCACCATGACAAAACCCCCTAGCCTGGGTCCTATCAGCCCCAAGTCTGCATCTGCATGATTTTGCTTCCACGAGGTTTAGACTGCATTGCTAGTGCCACTCCTTTATCACACCTACACTCAGAGCAGATGTCAGGCATCACAGACAAAAGTCCAGGAATCACACTCTGCCTAGGTTACTGACTTTCAAGCAGTAATCTAAAATTTCCCTGCCCAGCAAGCCTTTGAGTTGGAAGATATAAAATCTTTATTACAGTTCTTATTTTCACATTGATCTCAACACAAGTTGTTTGATAGTCAGTCAATCAATCTTTTAATGAAACAAGTGCAGCATCATCTAGTGATTGTAAAATCTGACTAGCGGTTAGGAATAGAGTTCTATTTATAGCTTTGCCCTTGACTCACACTATTCACGACCTTGGAGGAGTTACTATGCCTCAGATTTTTCATCTGTAAAATACCCATTTCTCTATCTTGGAGGATTAACTTGATAATGTCTGTAAAATACTTTGAGGTCTTAAAGGAAGGACACAATGGGATTATCATGTGTCATTCTTACAAGAACCATGTCGATGTATAGGAATAGAAAGTGTGAAAAGTAGTCTAAGAGCAAGCTTGGAATATTATTGGCTTAAAATAAGTCAGATATATTTGTGTCTGTACTGACAGTGTGAATGGCCCTGAAAAACTGTGTTAACTAACCCTACTTATTTCTGGTTGTGCTTCAATCTCACTTTGAATGTTAACTCTAAACCGCTAACCTGTTTCTTTCCCTTTATTCACTTTTTCCACCCACCATTGCATGACATCAGGGTCACTTTTGTGCATGACACCCGCTACCAGTATTGGTAGGTTTCAACCTTTTTTATTTGTCTTTTATATGATGTACAATACCTTCACTTGTTTGAAATTTATTTCAGAGATGGTAGAAATTCTTTAGGGAGTAGTAGATCTGAAGGCTTATTTGGCTTTAGAGTTAACATAGAGATTTCTTAAAGATGTACTTGTATATTTAAGAAAATGACTGTTTTAATGTGACTTCTTGTGTTAGAACAATCACTACTACCAAGACATAAAACCACAAGTACAGGTCTACTCTTTAATGATTTGTGTTTTGTTTCTCTTTATAGTTTATGGTATAGCATAAGGAAAACAGAGAGGCAGGCTGATTTCATCAATGTTTTAAAGTTTCATAGTGGTGTGCCCTTATCTCCTCTTTGCTGTGTGTTAGAGTTATCAGAGTTTCCCAGAAGTAATTATTTTTTTGAAAAAAAAATTATACATGGATGTATTTGGAAACAAAATGTCAGAGCTGCATTGCTTGATTATCTTTTTAAAGTGTTGACTGGTTTGGGATGACTTTTGTGTACCTCCACATTCCCTTAAATTTTCGTAGTACATTGCTATCCACTTATCAAAGCCATTGTGCAAACGTCTGTCGTTAGCACATATGGATTAGTTCTACTTAGAGTCCAAAAAAGCAAATGCTGGCACAATGTTATCTGGCTGTCTAAGAGCAACTATGTTAGAATTTACATCAAGGTCATGATTTCTGTTTTGCTGTTCATTGATCAAAATAAAACACAATCCATAGCAATTGCAGTTTAGATAAGTGACCCTAAATTGTTTTAAAAATTCAATTTAATCACAATAAATTCCAGAGAACATCACATCCCAAATTAGAACTACACATTGTGCCTTTGATGTTCTAGGATTTATGAATTTATTCTCTGTTTGATTATCATATATTTTCACCTCATTGGATATGACCTATCATAATTTTCAAAACTTCCATTATGATTTGGGAATGTCTGTTGTTTGAAATAAAATGTTTATAAATACATCAACCAAAGTAATCTGCTTTGGCCTTTCTGGGAATCACTGATTAAGTTTTTGAACTTCCTTTAATTGTACTTGTAATAAGCTATTTTCCCTTTTTTATTTCTCTCCCATGCTTCCTTGCTTTGCATTGTGACTGCATGCCATCTGCTGGTTTAACCCATGATGGCTTGCTGCTCTGATATTCACCATGCCAATACCACTTCTCTTACCATAATGCTACACCCTCCTGTTCATTGCTCCCATGGTTCCCCTCCTGAAAGTACCCATGATGCACAGCGCTACGTCCGCCACTGTCTCTGCAGCAACAACTCCTGCAACAAGTGTCCCCTTCGCAGCAACAGCCACAGCCAATCAGGTTTGCTCCTTTTAAAGCTTTCTTTCACAAATCCCAAACTCTAAATGAGTGCTGATATTTAAAAAAAAAATTCTCACCGAGAATTTTTTTTTCATGTTTATCCATCAAATTTTATTTTTTTAATTAGTTTATAGCAAGCATTTACAGACAGGTTGCACTTATTTAGAGTTAACATTTACTGCAAATAATGATGTAGCTATGTTTTGTGTTGCACTGTTTGTTTTCGTACCTAATATTGTGTAATTAACCTGACAGGCTGACATTCCTTTTAGTGCAGCGTTTGTGAATTGCCACATTAAAAAAAAATAGTAGAGGCACACCCGTGGGTGCTCCAAAGCTGACTCTGCTTTGACTCAGTTCACTCAGACCTCATCTGTGGTGGAGAAAAGTCTCCCCTTTTCCCTAAGTGTCAAATTGAGGTCTGAATAATGCTTGTTAATACTGACATTGGTCACAGGTACCTCAAACTCACTCGACCACCTGTTCAGATAGCGGCATGACAGCCGTGCATCCTGGAAGGAAGATTGAGTGCCCCTGGGTTCAAAAGGCTGATGATAGCTGGTTAAGGGAGTTTAACCCTGTTGGTTTAGTGCATATGCCAGTAGGACCATGGGTTATTTCCTACTGTGTGGTCACAAGCTGACAGCATCCCTGACCCCACCAACCAGCTTACACACATGCACTGCAGGTCACAGGGAGCCGAGTGTGAGATGACTGAGCAGAAGCTCTTACCTGGCTTAGAACAGCCTTTACTGTGCATGCCCTCCCTTCAGAGAAGAACAATTTTGGTTTTTTGTTTAGTTTTTGTGTTTTGTTTTGTTTAAATTAAAATGACTATGCTAATAAAAGATGGAAATAAGACTGGGGGAAAAAACAAAGGGCCAGGCTAAGAGGAAAATGGTAAGTTGAGTATTGGAGGGCAGGGTGTCAGCATAGATGGCACCCTGCACCCTGCAGGCTGGCAGAGCTGATCTGTGCTCAAGTGAATGTGGGACCCCCAGGTCCTAGGCTTCTTCACTAAAAAGAGAGGTGTGAATACATGGAACAACAGGAATAAATGCCTACAGTGCCCTCCAGGTGATGAGGAAGCAGGAGGTAGCGAGGCAGAGGTGAGTGAGGAGTCAAACAGGCAACACAAAGGCAATAGAAACTCCTTAATGACAGTCCTTCAGCTCTTCACTGCACTTCCTTAAAGTGCCAGTCTGTCCCCTGAGGAACACCGACAGCTTCCTAACCAGGAACACACAGGAAGGAGAAAGCCTGTTTGCATCCTTCCACTGTTAGATTCTAGCACCTGTTCTCACTTGCTTATTCTTTTGGGCTAAACCCAGGGCCTCAGGCACACTTGCTCAACAACTTGAGCCACTCTTAGAGCCCCCTGGTTTTTTTGTTTTTGTTTTTTGTTTTTTGAGCTAAGATCTTCCTAACAATGCCCTGGCAGACCTCAAATCATGGTCCTCCTGCTTCTACCTCCTGAGTAGCTGGGATGACAGGTATGCATCACCATGCTTGACTTACCTGCTCATTGATCCAATTTGTGTTACAACAATCCCTTCCTGAGTGAAGAAGTTTGAAGTTACAATAAGACTCGACCTATTCTTTGTTGCAAGTTGAGCGTTTCTGATGCTTAGAGCCCTTTTCTAAGAAAGGAAGGGAGGCCATGATAAAGAAGTACTTTAATGTTTTGAGATAAATTCCTTCCTGTATTAAAAACATTTGCTCCTGTGTCATATATATTTTTCAAGCCTGGTGGTTCTTTGACTCCATTTGATAGAAAGAAAAAAAAAAAGAGATTGCAAATGTATGTGTAGGTTTTTGTATGTGTGTAATGAGGCAAAGATAGGAAACAGGGCTATTGAGAAGCTAAAATAGATCCCTTTTAGTGGGTATGATTGGTAAAAGAGTCAACAAGTTCAACTTCAGTGTAATTCAAAGAAATGTAATTCACAGAGTACCTGACTAGCTTCGAGAATGTTCTTTGCCATCAGTCACATGTGATAGTTGCTGCTGAATTGCACATATGTGATGAAAGTCCTGCAGCCACTCTTGATGAAGCTCTGCTTGCACACAAAAGCCACTATAAAATAAATCATTGCAAACGAAAATTTTCAGACAGGCTATTCTTTATATATTTTCAGCAAGTTTCAAAGAACAAAGAACTTAGAAATTCATTTAGCACCTGAGAATAGGAAAGTCAAAGATTGTTAATGACTGTGAAATAACAGGTTATTATCTTAAGATTTCACCCTTTAAACTCAAATTGGAATAGGTCCATGTGAAATACAAAAGTCATTTAAACATTATGAACCTCAAGGTTTTCTGTTTGTGAAAGGAAGAATAGAAGTAGATGGTCTCTGAGATGATGACTGTTGGGCTAGTCCCAAAACACACGGTCACAGAAGTAAACACAAATGGATGGAGAGTGAAGCTAAGAGTACAGAATGCATAAGATAAGCATCCTGTTTTCCTGTCCTTCCCGGAGCTGCCATTAGCACAAAATGTAGTTGGTCTTTGGCTGGTTTTGGGTTAATTTGATCCATTCAGATTGTCAGTTCAAATATTTCAAATCTCATAGGCATGAGAAAGAAGGTGGACTAAAACTGTCTATGGCAGCTTCTCTGGTCCAGTGTAATTTTTTTTTGTTTCCCAATAAGGAGCCACACAGAACAAGCAAGCAATGCATAAATCCATCCTTGGGTCAAATCACCAACAAAAGTTTTCATTGAATTTTTATAGGCTAGTGTTTTGAAATTAAATAAACAGAATCCAAAATACATCTGAGAAATATAAAAATAATTTTGGTGGTTTAGCCCTGGAAATATATAAACAAAAACACAATAAGCAAGTGTGCTATGATCTCTTTCCTGTTTTAAGTAAGGTCTTTTGAGTTTTAACATATAAACCATACATACCTCATAATAATAATAATAATATTAAATAATATTACAAGCAACTTATTATATAAGGCATGATTCTTAACTCTCTCATATATTATATATCATATGTTTGATTCTGCCATATACTGTGTGAAAGGATATGGATATATAAATATGGACATTTCTGGAATTCTTCCAGTAGTTTTATGAGATAGGTACACTGTTCATCATGCCCATTTCATGAATGGTAAAACTGAAACAAAGCTTAACCACATTAACCAAAGTTGCACAGTTAATAAATGGTCCTGCTAGAATTTAAACCAGAGGCCTCTTTCTTAACAACCATGATACACTCTATCCACTCTCTACATAATTATAAATACACCAAAGTCACTTCTTTCACATATAATACTGCCTGTTGAATGAAACTTGAAATCAACAAAGTCCGTGGCTATGGGAGAAAATGAAGATGTCTTGCTAATACAACTCAAACAGCTTAATTGAGAATGTGAACTCTATTTGATCATGGCTGCCATATACACATATAACAGCCAGCTCACATTTAGAAACTGTATAGTTGACCTTACTGATTCCGTGTGATATTATACTCAGTGGATATGATCAATTTCTATAGAAGAAACCTAAGAAAGAGTTAGTCATTGTTCTTAGTGAAGTAGGTTCATGGGCACCTTTTGCCATAGACTTTATTCCTAACCTCTGCTAATCTCCAAATAGCTTGTAACAAGCAAAATCATAAAAGAAAAGTGATAGTAACAAGCCAGGTGCTGGTGGCTCACACCTGTAATCCTAGCTACTTCGGAGGCTGAGATCTAGAGGATCAAGTTTCAAGGTCAGCCCTGGCAAATAGTTCAAGAAACCCCATCTCCAAAATAACCACATCAAAATGAACTGGAGGTATGGTTCAAGCAGTAGAGCACCTCCTTTGCAAATACAAAGTTCTGAGTTCAAACCCCATTCCCACTCAAAAAGAAATGATGGAAATATACATGTAAATTAGTTTCGTCCCCCTAACAAAGACAAGAATGGGTAAATAGATGCCTATATTGAAACAAATTTAGAGTATACATTAGAAGATGTTGAGGTAAGTAGCTTAGTACATGGATTAACTAGTTTTTACATATTATAAGAAACTTCATGTATCAAGAATGCATATTAAATTCCTATAACTTCAGTGATTATAGAACTTCATGCTGTAATTGCTTTTTTAATTTCAAAAAATCCTTTAATTATTTCAAAGGGGGAGGGAATAATTTCCAAATAAGTATATTTTATGTTTTAGATTCTTCATTGAGATATGGAGATTATCCAGTTCACATGATAGCATCCTTACACACCCAAATAAAATACAATTTGTACTGAGTGTTCCCTGGGCCTTCTGCCCCTGCCAAAAGTACTTCTTCTATCTTCTGAATTCTACCAGGACTTTGGACATCCTTTAATCATCTTCATTAGATAGAAAGACAAGTGCAAGTGCAAAAGTTGGGGGGAGTATAAAGTTTAGCTGGAGAAGAGCCAGTGATCTCACTGGGCAGAATACCAGACTATGGGAGTGGCTCTAACGTGTGTCTGACTCTGACTGAGCAGGACCTTAATGGCCAGGCTGAAGGGTTCAGCCTGTTTGGCTACTGAAGGGTTTTTAAGCAGGATAGTGATGGAAACTGAACAAATTAAGACTGAGCAGATAGAGTTGAGGCAGGAGAGTCTACATAGACCATTAAAAGGATTTTTTAAAAAGAAATTTTTATTCTTTTATTTTTGGCAACACTGGGGTTTGAACTCCAGGCATTACATTTGCTAGGCAGGCACTCTACCACTTGAGCCATGCTCCCAGCCCTTTTTGTTTTAGTTATTTTTCAGATAGGGTCTTGGTCTTGCACTTTTCCCCAAGGACCCTCCTGGAACCTCAGTGTTCCTACCTACAGCCTCCCTGTAACTGGAATGACAGGCACCTGCCTCCACATTGGACTGTCAGTTGAACTGGCTCTTGCAAACTTTTTGCCCAGAGTTGGCCTCAAACTGCAGTCCTCCTGATCTCAGCCTTCCAAGTAGCTGGAATTGCAGGCATCAGCCACCACACCCAACCAGTTAGGAGTTTTAATAAGAGCCCAAACTGGGACAGCGACTGCTGGTAAGTGGCCTGCTTTGTCTTACTTTTGTCCATTACATAGGGAGACTACTTTTTGCCAATGAGAAAGACCAAACCATTTTTGTGTGTTAGAAAAACCTATCTAGCCAAATAAATGTCCAAATCTATCCAAATAAATGTCAGGTGGCACAGACTAAGATGTGTGCTGGCATGAAAGTCTTAGCCACAGGAAGTTTCTTCTTGGGACCTGAACTCAGTCCCAGGGTGATAGCAGGGTGGCCTCACTGGTCAGAAGCCTGTGGTATGTCCCTGGCTACCTCAGTGAAACTCGCAGCTACCCAAGCTCAAAGCCCCCCAGGCCTGTACTTGAAAGAAAATGTCCTTGACACATGAAGAGACTCCACACAGCCCATGTCTCCACAGTCCAACTTTCAGGACAGTGAGGGCCATTATCCATCCTATTCATTCTGCTTTGTGAACCTATGTGAGGAAAAAATCCCTACAGATTAGACATTGGGAGTCTTTCCGGAACACCCACACAGTGCCTTAAAAACTGCAAAGTCAGATGATGCTTCTGGCGATGTTAACAACCGTTAATCACATCTCCATAAGTGCTGACTCATGTGTACTGTTATGAGGTCACAAAGCCTTGTCACATCTACTGAACCTTTCTCCAAAGAGTCAGTCTATTCAGTAGAGGGTTGACTTCTGTAAAAGTTTATTGAAAATTACTGATAATATATTGTACACACGTGGCCAGCTATTTGAGTATCTGATAAGCCAGGAACTTTCAGTATACAGATATGGCAGATAGAGGTTTGCTATATATGATAATAAAATTCAACAATATCTTATTAGAAAAATAAAGTAATTAAAATAACCAGAATTATATCTTATGCTTTATCTGGCCTGCTATGAGTTAATAAAGAGGGAGAGAAAAATGTCAAAAGCATTCCACTTCATCACCCACTTATGCATGTGAGCACCACTTCAAAGCTCCTTGTATGTAAGAAATCCAAAAACGTAAGGTCACATTTTACTTACTGCACAACACGGTTTTATAAAATATCTATTATTCAAGACCATCTGTTGGGACTATATTCAGAAAAATGTAGGAGGTATTCAACATTCCCTGCTATTCACCACTTGACCCATTTTGGGGCTTGTGTTTGTTTCACTGGGTTCTGCAAGGCCCCAGTGTGGGAGGAGAAGCTTCCTTCACAACTTTCTCCTGAAATACAGGGCAAGTAGCCATCCTCTGTGTGATGATCGAACTGTGAAACACTCCTTTCCTACAGTCTGCTTGTCCCTGGGGGCAGAGCAGAGAAAGCAGCTCAGCCTCAGGTATATGTTCTCCAAAAAAAAAAAGCAGAGGCCAGAACTGTCAGAATCCAGCCCTTGCAAACAGCACTCGGGGCTAAGATGTCTCTTAATGTCATACTGCCAAAGCAACTGAACCACCTTGAACTTTTCACTTTTATTCTGACTGTAGAGAAAGGGTTTGGTTTCACAAATGGATCTGGTTGCATCAAATGAGGCAGAATTGCCTTGTCAAATATTTTGTAGAGAAGGCGAGCCTGAGTGTGCATGTGTGTATGTGTGTCTGTGTGTAATTGAGATTGAAGCATACTGTAAAATAAACCAAACTATTAAAAAATGCAGCATTTGCATTTAGTTAACATTGGCAGGTTTTCACTAGGCAGCCTGGTTTGGGAATGCAGATTTACTCCTAGTAGGGTCAAAGGAAAGTTGTTAAAGTCAGGGTGCTCTGCCAGTCTTCGGTGGACGTGGGTCTATAAGAACAACACACTGGCAGATGAATTTTTGTCTTTAAGAAATCAGAAAATAAGGCAACAATAGACCTTTTATTTTCCTGCCTCAGAAGCAGCTGCTTTTCAGGACTGCCATGAGGTTTAATTAATAAATGTCTTTGCAGATTCTCTAAGGAAAGGCTAAGTTATGTAACTGTTGTGATTTGGTCCAGCTTCATTTTTCATGAATAATTTATACCTTATGGTGAGAAGCTTGGGTAGAATGCTTTCAGATATAGCACCTAAAGACATAATATCAGTTGCAATTTTGTGCAGCTGAAGAGAAAAATGTCAAGAATCCTATGTGAAGCTTTCCAGCCTGGTGGCTTGTCCTACTTACTATACCTCAAGTCCCACTTTCTTTTGCATTTTGATGGGCTATGGGGGAATCTTTTTGGATTGAAAAGTCATATTCCCTCTAGTATTTTGGCTTTTGTGGATGGTAGTAAAGCCATGCCCCATTTCTCTAATTTTAGGGTTCCTACTTTGAGCAAAACAAATAGCTTGTGTATTATTTCCAGCTCTAGATTTGTAAGGGAAGAGAGATGTTAGCTGCAGTAATGGACTTCAGACCCATTTTCAAGGGTTGAGTGAGGATTGAGGTCTCATTCTTTGTAAGAGCTGCTGTTAGAATAAACATGCACTCAGAGCCACTTATACTCGTGCTGTGCCAGTGCTGCCTACCTTCTCGCACGTCAACTACATGCTAGGGAAGTGACCAGCCTTTCTGTGCTGGTGGGTGAGGACCAACTTCAGTTCCACTTATATGATGCCACTGTGTGTCATGGACAAATGGGCTTCAGGTCTGGTCGCTCAGCCCCTTCTAGCCTTCTCTCCGGGTCACATGGCTGGAAGTAGTGACTTCCAAGGCCAATTATATCTAAGTCTGCAGCTCATTCCAGAGTCCACTAGTTGGGGCTGATGCTACAGATATTCAGGAGTTCTCTGCCTCTTCAAAGATATGTGAATTGATTGGAGTAAGTCATTAAAAAAAACTCCCCAATATATAAATATCACTTTATAGGAAATAAGATCCATGGTAGAGCTTTATCCCTAAAATGGCCATGGACATGGCTCTGAGAAGTGTAGGAAGGACAGATACAGGCCAGTTAGTAATTTAAAGGGTAAAGATGAGGGTGGGGTCAAAGAAAAAGGGACCAGCATACCACTTTATACATGTTTTCGCCTTTATCTCTGTTAGATAGGCTCTGCTTTTCCCTTTTACACATAAAGAAAACAAATCTGAGACTTGGTCACAGTGCTAATTAGCAGTAAAAGCCTGCATTTGACCTCAAGTCTGTCTTATCTTGAAGTCTGTGTTAGATTTCCATCACTCTGACAAAATACCTGAAATGGCCAATGTAAAAAGAGGAAAGGTAAATTTTGTCTCACAGTTTTGAGAGTTTCAGTCCATGATCAGTTGGCCCATTGCTTTTGGGCCTGTGGCAAGTTAGAATATCATGGTAGAGTGTATAGCAGAGGAGGCTAGTTCACCTCGTGGTGGCCAGAAAAGGAAAAAGGGATCATGATAGCACTAGGGTCATAATACCCTTCCTGTGGGCACACAACCAGTGACCTAACTTCATTTCACTAGACTCCCACCTGTTAAAAGTTCTACCACCTCCCAAAAGCACCAAACCCAAGGACAGTCTTTAACAGCCTTTTGAGGATATTCCAGATCCAAACTCCAGCAAAATGAATGTTTTTCCCCTTGTCTTACATTCTTCCCCAATCATCTGTTGTTTCGAAATGAATTTCAGAATCTGTCTGGAACTTTATACAGACAGACAGAGTAGCAGTGGTTACATCAGATCTAAAGAGGGGACAATGTGGCTCTTGTGAGCTAAATGACTTGCTTTGGTCTTCATGGCCAATGAGTGGGCAGCACTAGGAGGTGTGGAGGATGCAGTGAGCAGTTCTA